TCTGTAGGTTGGGGAGTCTGCAGTGTCTGTGTATTGCTTGTGGTCCCTATACCTGCAGTGTGGGTCCCAGTAGCTGACTTGTCACTCCCACCCCCGGGTGAAGGCAAAGAGGGCGGACCTTGATAACCGAGGTGACATCCGAGCTCGTATAGTTTCATTTGTCGTAGAGACATTTTACAGTGGAACTCGGATTCAACGAGGTCGCCGGGCCTGGCCTAAAATCGCGTTGAATCCGAGTCTTCGTTATAGCAAACACGAGGTTTTGTATAGATAGAGATCATTACAGGCACTGAACAAGTAATGTATATAGAGAAGTCACAAGTAGTGCCTGAAATGCTGGCATATTAAGAGCGGTGTAAAAAAAAAAAAAAGACTGACTCATTCAAATTCAAACGGCAGGGTCATCTCGATTGTTTGCCAAAAAGTTGTGTTGCTGTGTAGAGCCTAGCATACGGCAACTTTTGATTCCTTAGACCAGTGCACAATTCATTACGTAGATCTACGTCAAGACTAGCTTGTCCTTGTAATAGTAATAATGATCAGTTGAGAGGGGGGGAAAAGACTGTGACGCGTTTGTATCTGCGACGTTCAACGCTAGTGCTCCCCCCCCCCTCCCCTCCCCGACACGCACACACAGCCACACGTGTGCAGGCCGCCCATCCGACCCCGACACCCGCCGGAGTAGACACGTGCGCATGCCAACAACGCATGTGTATGTATGAAAAAAGGCCGCTGATTGGTCGCATGCAATCGGGTAAGTGAATAATGGTTCACGATGAATGTGCATTGGATGCTTTCCGAGAATAGATAAAGTTCGTTGTGGGAGAAAAATGAGCGAAGCCACGTCTGCAGTGGCTGTTCATCCTGGATGCGACCTCGTTGAATCCGAGCTCGCTGATTTAAGTGCTCGTTGAATCCGTATCATTTTTATTGATTTTAAAGAAGAAAAAAACGGGGAATCTATCTCATCTCGTTGAATCCGAGCTCGTTGAATCCGAGTTCCACTGTATTGGTTTGGGGGTTGTGAAGGCTTGTATGCATCCCTGTAGGATCTCAGGTAGGTGGTAGTCTTGTCCTGACACTGGCTTGTGCCCAAACATCTTGCCACAAGAGAACAAAAGTGCAATGTTCACTGTCCTGTTTTCCATCAACCTTCACGGGGATTTCTTATACTGTAGACAACCATAGGGGGTGTAGGCCCACTCTAGTTCTGAGAGATGGGAGCCACAGAGTGCAACCAATGACCAGTGATCATCTAAGCAGTCCAGTAAGGGGTCCCATTGAGTAAGGGGTAACGCGTTCCTTCCACAGTGAGTCGTCTACATCACCAAGCGTAGCTTGCGTATGCTCAATCCCCGCCAAGATATATAAGTAGGGGACGTCATCTGTTTCCAGGCAGCCTATTCCTTACAGCTACAAGGCCTTCTGGTTCTGCGGAGACATCTCACGATGAGTCGTCTGGCAGTCTGTGGGTACCATGCCCCGTCTGTAGAGCTCCCACGAGAGGGAGGGAAGCAGATGTCGACAGTAAGTTTCAGAATGAACAGGTTGGCCTGCTGTGGCGCCAGACCTACCACTACCATTATAATGGTGGATGTGTACGGACCCTTCTACGAGCCAAACGGTCGTTGCTCACTTCGCACCTCACAGAGCTATGGTACCTTCTGGCCAGAGCTCCGTCTGCAACCGTTTTTTCGCGTAATTCTGCAACATTAGCATAATTTTTGGATTCTCCGCGTTTTTTCACCTTTTTTTCCTTTTTTTTCACAAAACAATAAATTAACGTGACTAAGGGGACGTAGATCTAATCACACGTAATAAGTCTCATTTAAGGGAAAATTTGGTTATTTCCCTTGGTAGAAGATCTTGGTTATGGGTTGTGATTTTGTTCCTTGAGCATGTTCAATTTTTCAATCTACCAAAAGTTGTTCTCACGTCTGCTGATGTTTCATGTTTGACAGGTGTCCCTGGTTTTAGTAATGTGCTAGCATCAGAGGTCCAGATGTCCTTATTTTATTTTTTTTAAACATTTTTCTTTCCTCTATAGAATCTAGATCTACAGCTGAAAGTTACAGAGATTATATTTTTGGGTTGTTGTTTTTGTTTTGTTTTTACTGATGTGTATTGTTTTCTTTTCCAAATACACAACAAATTACGGATACTGATATGTTGTTTTCAATTTTTCGGTACATAAAACATGAAAATCATGAAAATTCGTGTTGATAAAGTGCAAAACATGTCGCAAAAGGTGTTACGGTAACTTGCATAATTTTTGCATAATTTTGCTTTTTTGTGTGCTTTATTTGGCCTTCTAAATTTGCATAATTCTACGGGGACAGATACCTCTGTCACGATCGAAGTCTCTCAGCTTTCGTCTTGGTGGTATGTTGATGCGATACCGGATTTTGCGCAAACGGAGGCTTATATTGCCACCAAGTGAGCACAGTTCGAGACCGTACGTCCGTTTATGACGTGCACCAGAAATTTTAACTGAGGAAAGTTCTTGGTGTCGCACACAAGTCGATAAAAAACAGCAAATTTGGCTAAAATTCGCCCAGGGTTTCCGTGCTGCACGTGGTGGTTTTGGTCCTTTAGGAGGCGTTGCAGTACGCGTTGGAAATCCATTAACATTAACACTAACACTTTAAGAGCAAACATTTTGAAACTTTCCTTGCTGTCTTTTTTGTGGATATTTTAAAAAATTAAGACTGTCTATCAAAGCGGTCCTTAACTTTTGTTGAAGTCTGTATATATATATATATATATATATATATATATATATATATATTTATATTTATATATATATATATATATATGTGTGTGTGTGTGTGTGTGAGTGTGTGAAGCGTGCTGACAAAATGAGTCGCTTCTCGGATTCAATCCTTATTGAAATAGATACATCATGCTTATTGATGAAGTTTTTTACAGTGTAGAAGAAGTATGAAATAATAAAAAGCAGGTTTGACTTAAAGAATGGCATAAATAGAAAATCTACAAAGTAGACCCTAGTGTCGATTTTTGGCCAATATCTCCATTTGTGGATTGTGAAAAGTAATTCATTTTGTCAGCACGTCTCATATTTATAACGGGGGGGGGGGGGCAGTCGCACCTCCGGGTGGCTCTCAGTCACACTTTGGTTCCCACCGGGCACGCAACTCTCACTTGTGGCTCCCCGTAGCTGTTAGTGTTAGCATGCGACAGCGGCCATACCACGGGCAACTGCTTCGACTGGCAGGCTAGACCTTGTGACTCATGAGGATAGCCGACGGGTCCTAGACCATCGGTGATTTTTCTTAAGGGTTTGCCTACCCTAGCCATGTGAAGACTGGTTTCCCGGCGGATGAAGTGGATGAGATCAACAGAAGATCCAGCGGTTTTGAAGGTGATACCAGCAAGTAGCAGGTGCTGTTGAGCGCATGAGGGCATGGAAAAAGAACCAAAAAAGTTCAGGCCATCCACTGCATCCTGACAGTCTCCATACGTAACGGTCTCCCTGCCACTGCCACTGGATAACGGCTTCCTAGGCCGAGAGAGTGGGACTGTCACGGTGCAACGACAGCTCCACTTTAAACAAAGTCACGTACAGCTTCACTCTACAGCTCATCACGATCTTCATCTATCCACACTATCACTCCAAAGCCCTGCAGCGAAATGCAAATGGCAAAAGTAACAGGGGTAGGTGAGCCCTGGCAGTTATATTCACAAACCTGTACATATGCGGCCATTGGGCAAGTGGTCGCCTGACGTGGCAGCAAGATTTCTCGGCAGCACTCAGTGGCCACTGTAGGGGTCTAGAAAAGGTGACCCAAACAAATGCCTACCATTCAAAGTCTGGTCAGTTTACCGCGGCAGACAGACTCACCCATTTTGCGGCCGAAAACAAAAAAGAAAAAGAAAGATAATCCTTGGATCCTGGAATGTCAGAACTCTCCTCAATAGAGATAAGGCCAACAGACCTGAACGAAGAACCACCGTTGTGGCGAGAGAACTCCAACGTTACAACATTGACATCGCAGCACTTAGTGAGACGCGTCTTCCACTCCAGATGAGGGCTCACTAAAGGAAGAAGGAGGTGGCTATACCTTTTAATTATTTTTTTTTAACGGAAAACCACAGACAGAGGAACGAATTCATGGAGTTGGCTTGGCCATCAGATCAGCTCTCCTGAAGAGCCTTCCTATTCTATCATCAGTTGGAACTAATACCATCACAAACAGACTTTTCAGAACGACTGAAAAGTCCAAGACTACTTGGATGCACCTCAGGTCGAATCATTGGCACATGATCGATAACGTCAGTGTTCGCCACAGAGACAGAAAGTATGTCCACATGACCAGAGCCATGGGAGGGGCCAACTGCTATACAGATTCGAGAAAACTGTCATGGATATGCACATCCAGCTACTTCATCGAAAAAAAGCCAAAGAACCCCAGAGTCTCCTACAACTCAATAAAGCTCGAAAGCGAATTCTACAGAAACAAGTTCGAAGAAGCTGTCGAAAAGAAACTCATTGAAGATCCCATTCTTACTGGTGACTAATCTGGAAAGTGGACTTCCTTCAAAAACAGCTGTCAGTGAAACCGCCACTGCTATACTTGGTCCGAAAGCTAAAACACACCAAGATTGGTTCGATGAAAACAATGAGCTTATTCAAGCTACTATCCAAGCCTAGAACAAAGCTTATGGAGAAAGGCAAAATGACCCCTCAACCCTCCCCAAAAAGGAAAAATTCAAGTCCCCTCAGGCCAGAGCCCAGACAGATCTACGTGAGATGAAAGATTCATGGTGGAACAATAAGGCCGAACAAGTTCAACTGTACGCTGATATATCCACAACTCAAAGATGTTCTTCAGCTCTCTGGTCAACAGAGAAGTCCTGTGGACGGTTCTAGAACTAGAACGGATTGGCTTTCCTCCCAAGTTCCTAAAGATCACCCAGCTCTTCCACACAAGCATGGGTGGGCAAAAATCGCCAGAATCTCTGCTGTTGCTTTCTTGTTCGGGGCTATTAAAATACTATAGTAAGTTTCGCCATTTAATATTTGGGTCCACCTTTCTAAACTTAATGACAATCTTGCCTTTTTCAACCTTCCAAATACATGTACAGAGAAAGAAAACAACATTTGTGCTTGAAGAACTTTTTAAAAAATTACAATGTTTAACCCTATCCGTACGTCGTGTTTTACTATCGTATCCCTACGACGTGGGGTACTCTTGTGCCCCCACTTTCTAAAGAGGAAATTTACTCGTTAATCCGAACCGTACGCTGTGGAGTAACAAAAGACCCCAAAAATTCGAACTCACGGCTGGAATCGAAACTCTTTAAGATCCAAACTGGCGGCAACTAGTTTTGTAGCGAGAAGGTTATGCTTTAATGGAGACTGCTCTGGGGGAGGCAACGCACGCCTGATAGAAGCCCTCTCTCGTAATGGAACCATGGTCAACCTGCGCTGTGCCCGATTATCGTACTGACATCTAGATAGGAAAGAGGGTTTTATTCTGAGGTCCTTGAGATTGGGAAAGTCAGTACACTTACAGTGGAATCCTGTTATAACGAGAGAGAGGGGACCGGAGCAAAATGTCCGTTATAGCAGGATTCTCGCTATAAGGGATCCAGTAATAAATTCAAGGGAAACTGTACAGGAGGCCTTATCTATGAGTTTGGTGTTCTGTTTATTTCCTTTTGCTGTCCCCCCTTATGATGATTTTGTCAACAAGACCTCTTGGTCTTACTTGATCAAAAATTGAATCAGGTTTCTTTCTTTAGCGATGTGGACTGACAGCTCAGCGTTGGCGATCAGAAGGAAAGGGCCCTGGGCTAACTCCCCCGCAGTGTTTTCCCCCACCCCACCCTGTGATGCATTCTGTCTGCTTGTGCACGTCACACATTCGCTCCGTCCATCACATTGATGTGACCTCTCAATGGCATGGTAGGCCTTGATAATCTGAACTAGGCTTACGCTGGCCTATCACGCGATGCGTTCTGCTTGTCTGCGCATGCCACACCCTCCCTACTCAGTTGCTTCGGCCTTCATTGTTGACGCACATGGGCTCTCCTATTCTTTGTTTCGTAAGATCACCAACAAGTTTCTTTACTGGCGAGAGTTTGCATGATGTATAATTGGCCAATCCACTGTTCACAGCAGCAGCAATATTTCGCTGTAACTGACTCGCATGTTTGTCTGATAGCGCTATAACAGTATTTTATTTACAAAGGTAAAGAGGAGAAAAAAACGGGAATTGTGTCTTTTTATAACAGACTTCTTGTTTTTTCCGGATTCGTTATAAAATATAAGTGGACTCCACTGTATTTTGTTTTAAAATCCATTGATCTCATTACTATTACTGATGTCAAAATATATAGATGACCTAGCGGCTTCATATCTTTTTTAAAAATCCAGTAGGCCTACCTGCTTAACAACAATGGTGAATAACTTCTTTGTTAAAGAAAGATGAAGGAAGGGGGCGGGTGGAAAGAGTTTGAGTCTCCTTTTATAGTGCTGTACCCGGTTTAATCTATCATAGTAGTCTCGACCTATATCTCATCGTTTATGTTTATGATCCCGGTTCACTTAAAGATTCCGTTGTTTAAAAAAATAAGAAACGAAACAACCTCCAAAAAACAACATATTTTATTACCTTCCTGGATCATCCATACTCACACTCCATACTGCATTCATACGTACCTACGATCTCATCTCCTCTTTAAATTTCTCGACGAGTGGTACAATGTTCGCCTCAGGCGCAGGGGCCTTACAACTTACAACGAAAGGATCACTCCCAGTCCCAGGTGTGAACTTTTCAAAGCCTTTGATTTCTCTGAACATCAAACTACAGCAAGGCGTGATTCGGTTGGCCGGGCCAACAAGACCCCATCAGAAGGGATCACACTGAACTGTGATTTCATCGGTGCTTTTGTTTCCCTGGCAATCTATCAGGTGTGCATCCGAATTTGCTAGACAGATTTTGCGCCTGTACTCTGGGACAGTCCGATCGCCTTTGTGTAATTATACTGTAAAGTTGAGTCAGCCTTTCATTCTTCGAATTTTAATCGGTGCGTTTACAAAACAATGATGAGTTACGACCTGAACTGAATAATAATGAGTGGTGATTTCGGTCAGAAATGAAAGAAAGCAATACAAAAATAGTATAGTAATTATGTAAATACTTTACAAGTAAATTATATTTTCACTATCTTTAGTGATTGTCCAGCATTCACAGTCATATAGGGTTGACCAAACATAGCATTTCAGAACTTTCATTTTGATGTTCATTGAGATGTTTCTATTTTTCAGGATTGGGCTCATTTTATTGACACTAGTACTAGCCTTAGCCATTGTAATTCTCCGTTTTTATTTCTGTGGAACATTCGGCATCAGATGTTATCATATATATCCAAGATATTTAAACAGTTGGACTTGTTTGATCTTTTCACCTTCTATGCTAATGAGATTACAACAAGGCTTTGCTGCTTTTTTGGATATTACCATGCATTCTGTTTTCTTTACATTCAACAATAATCCTTTACGTTCACTTTATGTTACAACAATATCTACACTTAGCGTCAATAAAAACCAGACACATTTTAATTGCGTGTTTCATGAAAAGTTGAAAACCCATTGAGCTGAAATTTCCACACGTGATTGTGAAGACTTGACGCTCCTGATCAGCCTGCATTTATGATCAGGTGCCCAGTTAATAAAGCTCTGGTCTTGTTTTGTTAAAAACTGTGTTTTGTCATTTTTCTCGAACGTTTTTGGTTTTTTAATTTTATTTTATGGGTTTAACACATCTTTTATCTGTAGCCAAGAATAAAAAGTTAAAAGTTTCCTTTCAAAACATCTAAGCTAAAGATACAGCATGCCGCGTTTAACGAACGAAGAGCGCAATCAGGCAGTTGGTATGCTGAGGGCCAATACGCCAGTAGCAAATGTTGCAAGGACCTTCAATGTGACAAGAGACACGATATCGACTAATGAATAGTTTGTAGACGTCTGGATCCGTGCAGGATTGTCCCCGGACAGATCTTCCTAGAGATACAACAACAGCCCATGACCGGTACATTCGGGTCTTGCACCTACGCAATCGCTTCCGGCCTGCTACCAAGACAGCCAGGGAGTGGAAGAGACGGAGAACCATAAGTGCGCCGACACCTTAGACCTCAGCCGGTCACCTTGGATCAGCTACGTACAGCACTTACAAACATATGGAACAACATTCCACAGCATCCCATACAAAGACTTGTGCGAAGCATGCGGCAGAGGTGCACAGAAGTCGCCAATGCCCACGTCGGCTATACACGGTATTAACTGTGACTTTTCATTTTAGAGCCTACAATTAAAAGATCAAATTTCAGGAAATAAAGTTCATTTTTAAAAATTGTTTTTTGTGTAATTGATTTGTAAAATGTTCAAACTCAAACTTTCCTATATAGAGATTGTTTCTGGTTAAAATCAGTCTTTCAATACAAAAAAACACTTTAAAAAAGGGGTGTCTGGTTTTTTTGGACGCCAAGTATAGAAGCAATTGAAGGTCTTACATAAGACTTACAAAAGGAAAAAAACCCAAAGTAAAATATTTCACTTTCAAAAAAACATATAGGCCTATGTCACCGTACACTTTTGACCTAGACATAGAAACGTAAATCATTTTCTTATCCCTTTTTTATCACCAAACTATACTGTCCACGTCTACATTTACTCTTCAGTAAAAAAATAAACTCACCAATTACAAACTATAGAAACCAAGTAATAGTGGGCTGACTTAGGCCAGCAGTCCCATTACCCACTGCAAATTTTAGTAGGAAGGAACCACTTGGCATGTAAGTACCTTACACCATATCATTGGAAAATAGAAATGGACACAAGGTCCACAAGCATTTTCAGGCCCTCATTTGCATAAATTAAAAATGGCCGCCACTGAAATATAATGAAAATGATAACTGGATATAACTTTTGACAACAAATGGTAGAACATTAATGTTGGTGTTGTTTCAAATAAATATATGGCTGACAAACTCAATGACACCATCAAAGTTATAATAAAAGGTCAAATTCACTCCTAATTTACATAAATTAAAAATGGCCGCCACTGAAATATATAATGAAAATGATAACTGGATATAACTTTTGACAGACAAATGGTAGAACATTAATGTTGGTGTTGTTTCAAATAAATATATGGCTGACAAACTCAATGACACCATCAAAGTTATAATAAAAGGTCAAATTCACTCCTAATTTACATAAATTAAAAATGGCCGCCACTGAAATATAATGAAAATGATAACTGGATATAACTTTTGACAGACAAATGGTAGAACATTAATTTTGGTGTTGTTTCATATAAATATATGGCTGGCAAACTCAATGACACCATCAAAGTTATAATAAAAGGTCAAATTCACTCCTAATTTACATAAATTAAAAATGGCCGCCACTGAAATATATAATGAAAATGATAACTGGATATAACTTTTGACAGACAAATGGTAGAACATTAATGTTGGTGTTGTTTCAAATAAATATATGGCTGACAAACTCAATGACACCATCAAAGTTATAATAAAAGGTCAAATTCACTCCTAATTTACATAAATTAAAAATGGCCGCC